CATCCCACGTTCGGAGCGTGGACTCCCGATTCTCTAGCCAGGTCCTTGCGGTGTCTTACAGGTAGAAGTACACACGACGGAGCTTTTCTTCGTTGTCCCAGTGGTTGAGGGCGGCCACACGGTTGTATGTTTCTAGCCAGGTTTCCGGGTCTTCAAACGATGACCTATGAAACGTTGGTGGTTCCTTGGGTTGACGAATGACGATCGCGGGCTGGGACACTCCGGTTGTCATAGTTGCTGCAGTAGAGGTCATGGCCTTGGCTTTCCGCGCCTTGTCTTGTAGAAGCCCGTACTTCGGTGGGAGACCTTGCTGTCGGCGGCTTGTTCGCTGCTCTTGGTTGGCGTCGGTGTCTTCTCCGCGACGTGGCCTGGATTCACGGCTTGACGGGGGCGTTCGGTACGTGAACGAAGCAGCACCTCCACCAGATGTCACGGGGTCGTGACGTGGCCGAAGACAGGAGACTTCGTGTTCGGATTTAACTGTTTATTTGGGCGAACTTGTGCCCAGTAAACGGAAAGTCCGATTACAGCAGCAGTCTTGCACAGATAGCAGTCTCGGACTGATAGCGGCGAACGGAGCGTCGGCCTTCGTTCAACAACTGACAAGCGGCGAAGCGCGTCGGCATTTATACTCTTGCCATCGAATGTTCTAGCGTTATCGCTGGCGGTGGCGTAGGTTCCTGAACAATCTGTACCGTTCGCACAGTGGGCGTGATCTTATCGAAATGATCTACTACAGTCCGGAACCTTCTCGAAAACTTCAGGCGCGGTTTGCGCTGAGAATCGTGTGGTGTTTTGGGACGATAACGAAAACTTGGGAAATGGAACGTGGCAATATGTATAAAATGTATTGAAAGTGTAATAAAGAAAAAAATATAACATTGTGGCTTTGTGGTAAGACACCTGCTTGCCACGCACGCGATCGGCCCAGGTTTGATCCTCAATGGGAGCGAGAATTTTATTATTTGTTTTGTTTGCTACTTTCTCAATTTCACGCTCATGAATGATTTTTTGCTCACAACCCGGGACGCCGACAGCAGAATATTTGCGACACAGTCTTTCTAACGCTATCGCGTTAATAGTGCAGGACATTGGAATTCGATATTGATTGTCTGAGGTACTCCATTAAAGTAATAAGAAAAGGAGACATAGGTAGGTTTCCACTTTTGCAATAACCAGTAGTCTCGAGCAGCAATTTCTATCATTCAGCCAAATCTCAAGGAGGTATAAAACAACAGAGCTGGGTAAACCAAATACTCTTCTTAGAGAAATCTCAAGCAACTCCCTGTTTCTGAGCTAACTAGTTGTTCATGTATGCTAACAACTGGCAACAATTGTACAGGGAAAAAATTCTGTCAATAACGTAAGGCCAAAGAAATTGTATCCAAAGGGAATCATGAATGGGTGCGAAGCAACAGAGGTGCACACGCCATTGACTCGGCTGAAAAGGGAATCGACGTGGGTGAAGGAAGAACGGCTTGAATCGAAACTCGGTGTAGCCTTTACTCAAGTAAAGGTTTCTTTGAAATGCAAGGACAGGGGAGGCAGCTTGGGTTTTGTGTAAGTTTCATCGCAGATAAACAAGCCGAAAGGGTTTCCACTCGACGTGCACTTGAGTGTTGCAGGTGGTGGAGATGGTGTTGTGAGCGGGCGGAGGAGCAACACATCTAGGTGTGTTGGCAGGAGCTGGCAGCTTCTGCGGGTGAGGGAGAGAGTGACGTCAACGCGCACCTGCGACCTGACCTACTTAGCCTCGTTCCAACAACGGCGGGGGGGGGGGGGGACGCGGTGCGGAGCGTTGGCATAGAGACACGGACAGACAGCATTACACAAACTAGTCAAAAAGCTGCTTCCCATCTAAAACAATTTATTCTTCATTCCACTTTGCTGTGCAAATTCTGATACCGATATTGAAAGCTGAACGTATGAATATACAGGGTATATCTCCGATTAGGAAGTTCATAACTTTCTATCAGATATTAGAGTTTTTCTACTTACAACAAAAGCTCGAGAAATAAAAAAAAATTATCACGGGACATGCCGGCTCACGCACAAGTGCGTGTGATGATTCTTGTGCTCCCTAACATTCTGCATCCGAGCAACCATGGCAGTTGCCCGGTTGTGCTGTCTATGTTTTTTTTTAATAAACAGGGCAGCGAGAATGGTGGTGGCTGTGCGGCAAACACGTTTTGGTTACGATCACACAAGTAATAACTTCTGTGTGTGGTTATTGCTGGCATGACCTACCGCGAGGAAAACATTGTTTATACATGAAATGTTAGCTAACACTTGAATCACGCTATGCATAGGCCCGCAAAAGGGCATGTCACGTAATATTTTTTGTATTTCGTGGGCATCTGTAGCAAGCAGAGAAACACGGATACCTAACGAATGGAAAGTTAGAAACTGCCTAATTTGATGTTTTCCATGGATCAAGAACTTTTGCATTGGTGTTTCCCCAAGCTTTGTTGCTTCAAACATTAATTAATTAAAATGGCCTAGTTAAGCAATCAATCAGACGAAGAAAGTCAGACTTACTCCAGGCAACAGTCAGCAGCATGCATTCAGACTCGTCGTCATTGAGTGTCTTCACATTTTTTTTTAAAGTCTGGCTAGAATTTGCTAGGACATCCTGTCTATATAAGGTAAACCGGAATATAACAAAACTGGTCAATTCTCAGAAAAATTCGTTATGAAGAGGGTTTCACTATATACAGGTTCGGTACGAAAATTCGGAAAATAAATGCCCAAATTAAACAAAACGGGGACTAAAAACAGAGCGAACCCAAAGCACTTATTGTACAGTTAGAAAAACTGCGTTATTACTGCGATATTAATTACATGGACACTCACGGCGGGTTTTTGCCGTCGTCGTCATGTTCCGTAACAAGTCCAAATTGATAACATGCTCCGCGCATCGTAACTTTCACTAGTGGCTAAAAGCATGCAAGTGCTGATGAAGCAGAAATCAAATGAGTCGGCCCATCCCTATGGCCTGGAAAGTTCAAAGATAACATATCCCGCGTGTTAGAACTGCCGTAGAAAGCTCGAACAGAAAGTAAACCACCCGTCTTGAACGAGCATGAAGCAATGCGGGATGGCTGGAAGGCATTGCTCGAGCAGCTATAATGAACCTCGATTTTAAGGGTGGTCACGATCGCTGATGAGCTTGCTAATCGGCGAATATCAGTGCGGTTTCATCAAGAAAAGGCTGTCTGGAAGGAGTACTTTTTCCTGGAGAGGTCGTATTTGCTCACACCAGCATTCATAGGAGTTCCGCGACATCGAATCTGAAAAAGTGGGCTGCCAGCCTTACTTCTTATAACATTACAATTTTTTGCGATCACGTTCATTGCAATGCATTCAACGTGCCATAGTGTTGCCAGAACTAATCGGATAATCGCAAAAGCTACCAGCCTGCGATCTCGCGGCGGAAGTGCGTGACGAGTTGACCTCTGAAGATCAGTCGTGACCGTGGGCTCGGAGAGTTTCCATCAGCGCCTAATGCGACATCCCCTTGGTGGTGACGAAGGGGTTTTTCGATACTAAGAAAAGTCATAGTTTCGTTGCAAGGGCGAAGCGAGAAATGCGATAAGCAACAACTTAGAATGTAACGCTGAGAATGGCAAGCAGATCTAAATGTGCAGTGCGCTGCTCACGCGCAAATGATGCACGAAAACAACATACACAGGACGAGAGCCAACTAATAACGTTTACCGCTCGACACTTAGCGTGCTGTGTAAACAAAACCGTGGCACGGAACGTAATTACAGGAGCAGATATGAGTGCAAACTAACAAGTGCCCTAGTTTTACTTCACTGAGTTTGAAAAGTGCACTACTTTCGCAAACAGCGCCTGTCCAGCGAACGGAGTAATCTTTGTGCGGCAACTAAACGCGATCGTTCAGGTCAATGTCGAAGACGCAAGATTCTCCCCACCAAAGGATAAGTGTGCACCCACAAGCATTTAACCCCCCACCCCATTCTCAGGGCAAAGTACACGTGGGAGATAAACGCTCGTCAGCGCATCGTGACAAGCTGGGCGCTGAGCGCGGGCGGGTTTTTTTTTTTTTTTTTTCCCCTGAGTTTTCACATATATAGGTACGTATAGATATACGGCGAATGACGGAGACTATGGCAAAAGACCATTTGAGACTGTTTATACAATTGCTATCTCAATAAAAAGAAAAGCAAAGATGAACGTCGTCGGGGGCCACACCATGCGCACGCAGTGAAACTATGCAGATGGGCGAATGACACGGACAAAACATGGGTACCGCGGAAAAACCATTCGGCAAAGCGCCCTCTATATGCAGCACGGCCCCAGATGTGTGATGCTAACTAAAAGCGTGGCACTGCCAAAACGCAAAAGTAGTTTTATTTTTGTTTCGAATTGCGGGGGGGGGGGGGGGGGGGGGGGGGGGGCACACCAGCGCATGCGCCTGCGGCGGCTAGAACAGCGGCAATGCCAGCTGGTGGGGTGCAGGCCCACCTCGCAATAACGAGCGCTCGCTCTCGCCTTGTGCTCCGTACGCCCCGACGCCGCTTCACACTTCGTTAGCAGCGGGGTAGCCGCGGAAGATGCATGCTCGTACCAAAATGCCAATATGCGGAGCAAAATTCCTAGATTGTTTGCGGGGAAAATTCGTTATATCAAGGTTGTCTCCCACTGTTACTTTGTTACATTGAGGTTGCAAATACATGTGCTTCTATGGAGCGACGGCGGGGAATAGAAAAACATCGTTATACTGAGAAATTCATTATATGGAGGTTCTTTATAAGCAGGTTTAACTGTAGTATAAAGGAACTGGTTAGTATTAACCTAGCAACCACGACTTAGTATCAAACACAGTTTCAGTGTAAAGTATACAGTAAATGACTATGCTACTTACTATATAGCTCCCACATTACATATACTGAACAAAGTACAATATGGTCGCACGATGCAATACATGTACCTAGTTGGTCTAGGTAACAGCTAGATTATGGCAAATGACTTACTTCCTCGAAGCATGCTAGTGGCAGTGGGGCCTGTTTGAAGGCCAGCAGCAGGCATGACACACAGTGCCAATGGCCGCACAGTTCTAGACGATGCCCATCCACCGAAACCTCCCTTCCTTTGGAAAGGTACGGTGGCTCACGACAAATTGGGCAGCGTTCAGACTGGGAAGTGGATTCAACCTTTATGGGACTTCTTGACAGTTGGCTCACCAGTTGCTCTGCCTGTGCGTGACAAACATGGCGACACATGTAGTTTGCTGTTGCGATACAAACTGGTTCTGAAACAGGAATGAAAAATATGTTATATCAAAGCAGAGAAAGTTCAATTTCGCGTACTTTTCGTTGTTCCTCTATTATCACGTTCTATGGAGGGCGATGGTCTTCCACTACAATTTATTTTAGCTTTTTTAGGATAAAATAGACTAGATATATATGCACATGCCTGGACTAATTAGAAAAGCTGAAAGGCTTTTCATAAAGTGAACTTTACTTTTGACCATGCTATATACTCTTATCCGGAGGCAATGGTAGGCTCTAGACCCGGGTGCAGCCATTGGAACGTAGTAAGCCGTTCTACTAGTTCCTTCAATATTTCTGTGTGCCATAAAATTCCCAGTGTTAACTATGGAAAATCATTCAACAGGAAATGTTGCTGGAGCCATATTCAATAAGAGAACCCATGTTAATTGGGCCAGCAGCTCTACAATCTTTTGAAATTCCGCTTTGTATGGCCTAAAAGTGCTACATCATTTGCCTTTTTAGACCCTCCTCCTCAGTCAGAAATAAGGCACTGCCTCCTCCGTTGAAAAAATTCTGGCAATGTCAGTTGATCGATAACAGTAAACCCAGTGGATGATCACCATGAATAGTGCCATTTATTCGAGCAGAGGTGTAATGTGGTAAAATAAAGTTTATGAACGACGTGACAGAAAGAGGAAATCAGCACTCTGTAAGTGGAATTTTGTTGCGTTAAAATCGGAAAGATACTTACAAATGCAGTAATTATGCACTTTAAGACCTCAGAAAGTACATGAAATATACTTGCGTGGAGTCAAAAATGCATAAGTACACTGCCTGATCTGGAATGCTGCGTACAACCCACAATTGGAAGTCGTGCGTGAAAACGCCCTCCACACGAAACATGCAGTGCACTAGTGTTTTATTGTTATTTTTACGTTATTAGTGACATACTTACCATTGACTTTATTACTGTACTGTGCTGATAATAATGTGATAGTGACCAAATCCTATTGATGCACATGCACAAGAGCAGTTAACTTAATCCTAGGTGTGTTTGTAATTGTGCTTAACTATCTGCTGCCACATGAAACCATGGCCTTTTTCTTACTGACTTTATGTGGGGAAAGAAAGAGTTTACAAGCTCACTGAGGGCAAGAGTTGCGCAAATATGCGTTTACAGCTTCACATCAAGTGAACACTTCGAATGGTGTCATTTTAAAATTTGTATTGGTTTCACCGATTGCTTGAATTTTGTCAGTGAATAAAGCGCTTAACTGTGACATATGTGACCCAGATCGTAACACTCAGGTGTTGAGATTAACCTCCATCACACTATCCCAAGTGCATCTTGTCTATGGTGCCATCACTCACACGTTCAATTGCTGTGTCCAATCCGACGACATTGATTGCCTCGAAGTTTGCATCGAACTGTGCCGCTTCCAGTTTGCATTCCTTCGCCAGTTCCCATGGGTCGTGGCCGAACTTGCCCACAAATGATCTCAGCGTGCTGAAATCGTCGCCGACGAGGACCAATTTCTTTCTCTTGTGCTTGCCCTATGAATAATCGCGCAGCAATCACTCCACTTTTCACACTTTAACCCTATTATTAATGGGAACTAATGATGGATCATGCCAAACAAAATAATGCGGGGATATTATTAGCAGTAATTGTGATGTAAATGTGACGAAAGTGAACAAAAAAATCACTTATCGTCTACTTTGCTTTCTTCACATATAAATTACAATTACTTTAATTACATCTGCCATACTTTCCTTGGCATCATTGTGTGTTAATTTTCATTAATGCTGTGTCTAGTAAAGAAAGCAAGTTCCTAAATTTAAACTTATTTTTTTCATTTCAGTTCTAAAGCATTTCTTGCAAGAAATTATTGCTTTCACCAACTTAGCCATGGCTAGGTTGCAAAAGCGCTCGTTCAGCTGCAGGGCGTCCGCAAGAGCCCTACCTAGAAATCACGTGACCTTTTTTTCTGAGACTGGTACTGGTGCCAACAACTGGCAACGGCGCAACGACACTTGGCCGGCGCTTCGCTATGGCTCAACAAAAATGGCTGCAACAACTAGGCAAAAGCCACCTGCAGCCACGGTTTCGGAGAAAGAAATAACTGAAATAAAACGGAGAAGTTCCGAGTCGAAGGAAAGAGCATAGTAATAGATGGTGCATTGCGTAGTTGCACCAACGCCCGCAGCACACGACCACTGAAAAGGGATCTACAAAGAGAGCATGCCCTTGTCCATCATATCAGCTGGCTTTCAACAACACTTCGCAGCACATCTCTGTTACTAAAGCCTATCCAAAACACATGTTTCGCGTGCTGATCTCATCTTATGTGCTCTGCAACCTTTGTTCAGCAGCATTTGCATGTTCGGCGTGCTGCTGCTGCACTCCCCCCCCCAGCAAGCACCTGTGCATGTCACAGACTCTCGTGCAACATATGTGTATTTATGTAGAGTTTAGTATTTTCGTTATGTAACTGACTTCGATCTAAGGCTGACTCCGAGGCGTTGTGTGGCAGCTCAACTACTTGTGCAACGGAAGCACACAAAATAACATTTTTGTGCTCAAATGTCACTGTCGCCATGACATGTCCGTGTTATTGACCACAATAAAAGTGGGAAGTGCATGAACGACTCATGCAATCTTGATCTTCATCTGCCCTGCTTACACGGCCACAAAAATCGTGTGCACGCGAAAATCTGATGAATTGCAGGGAAAAAAATTGCTTTATAACTACGATAATGTGAAGTACCGATACATTCCTCGGTAATATATTAGTGTTTAAACTATACAGTTGGAGAGTAACTACACCATAATGTCCTGTTCTTTATGTGCTTCACGGTAACTGAAGTGTACTTAATTTGTCAACTAGTGCTCACCTGTGCTTTGATGCGCTTCTTTAGCACCTCCACGGCAGCGGAGACGAGTTCCTCGTCACCAACCAGCCGCGTACCACCAGGCTTCTGAATCACGTAGACGCCACCTTCAGGTGCGACGGCATTGACAACAGCCGCTACTATCTCTGGTCGTGGCGATTCTTCGATGAGCACTGCCTCTGAGCTGATCAGCCTATTGAAGAGCAGCACGGCTTTTTGGAAATCGTGCAGGTTATTGGCACGCAGACTGACGCGAACTACCGCTGGTCCGCAGGGCGTCGCATCACATTTGAGGTTGTCCTCAGGCCGAATACCTTCTTGGCAATGGAGCTCGGCTTTGACTCGGTCTTGTATGGCCGCAAAGAAAAGGCGGGGAAAGAAGAAGGCCTCTTGCACTAAGGTGTGAATGGTGAGAGGCAGTGTGATCGCAGAACCCTGGGAAACGTCTGTGGAAACCGGGGCCCCTTTGAGAAGCGCACATGTGCGCTGTGCCACGGTGGCGTCTTCAAAAGACACCCAGCCTTTGAAAGCGTAGTCCATGTCCTTTGGTTTCTGAAGGCTGAGCTTTGGTACTTCGGTACCAGCTTCTCTTTCGAATATGCTGCGCACGGCTTCTTCCAGCGCTCGGAGCTCCTGAGAAGTTGTCTCGAGCTTGGGTTCGCGAATGAGACGAACGCTCTTCAAACCTACGGGCAATGAGGAGCGAAGGAGATTTTCCACAGCTGTCTGGCCAGTGCCTGGCGCTAAGCCCTTAATGAAGAGCCCACAGGATGCATTCTTGTTTCGTTCACAAGTCACCACAACGCCGTCGAGCTGTAAATGTAGTGGCAGCGACCCCACGATGCGGTCCATGGATGCCTGGTCTGGCAGCTCAGCGAAGGCAATGCCCGTGCAGCGACGCCGTAAGAGAGACACCTGAGCGTGGAACGCCGATCTCCGGTGCTTTTGCTCGTCGCGGTATGCTAGAGCCTCACCCTTAACGGAAACTGTCAGGTCGCTATTTTGCTCAGAGAGTGAGTTGTAAGCAGCGTCGGCTTCCTTCGCCGTCTTGTACGTGATCTGGAAGGCATTGTCCTTCTTGAGAAACCAGTACTGGACAATATCTCCGAGCCTGTTGACCAGCTTTCGAAAATCAGCAAGCGGAATCTTTACATCGCCAACCACGAGGGAACGAAAATTAGTTGGCGATAGGATTTCGTCCACTCGACCTCCGACGCTGATAACAACCAGAATGGGATGTGTACTATAGGGCGAGTCGGGTGGTGTGAGGAGAGCCTCTCTGTCCTTCCTGGCAAGTTTTGCCACCTGATCAGTGACGATGCTTTGGAGGTATTGTCGAGCTTCAATACAGTATTGCTCAGAACCTCTGATGACAATGCACTGAGCTTTGGCGTCGATCATGAGCGACCCTGCTTTCCCATGCACCTCGTTTCGCAGCTTGTCTTCTATAGATTGCAGCACTTGCGGCGTGTTGAACTGTTGGTTCCAGATAAGGTTCCCAATAGGCCCGAACCTTTTTTGAATGTGCGGAAGTTCTGACGGCGACAGTGGCGATTCTTCTTTGGTCTCAGAAGTGTCGTCTTTGTTTGGAAGAGATGAAAAGTTAAGGAGCTGCAGCTTTCTTGCTCCAGGCATCAGAGAGAATAGGCAGCATACTACATTTTTCGCTTGCCCAGCCTTGACGCCGAGCACTGATAGTGGCGACACCTGAAGCTTGCTTCCAAGCGTGGGGCTACTGAAGCCCCGTTCTGAGGCTTGGAGCAAGCATTGTGGATAGGATTCGGCGAGCAGTTCGGCCACTGTGATTGTGACGTCTTTGTCCTGCTTTGTTGAATCTGAGTTCAGGTTTTTCCCCCTGAGAGCGTCAAATTCTGACTGAATAGCTAGAACGGTGCTGTGGAGGTGACTGATAAAAGTTTCATGAACGCCGTTCACTTCACACCACGCGCTCTTCATTTTCTTGGGGACAGCGAGCCAGTTCTTGTATAAGTCAGTGATTCGAGAAAAGACGCAGTCTCCTTCAGAGCGCTGAAATTCTCGTTCTGTGCCGTCCTTGTTGAGGGGTCTGTAAGTAGCGAGTACTTCCTCGTAAGCTAGAGCAGAGGTCAGCACAGCGTTCAAGGGAGCGGCCTTGTCCAGTGATCCCAGTACCAATTTACCGAGTCTAGGCTCTAGGCTGTTCTCGCAAAGTTTAGCGCCCAAATCTGTAAGGCGCCCATTTGAATCCAACGCCCCGATACCTGCAAGTGCTTTCTTCGCATTCGTCACAAACTCCTTTGGTATCTTTTCGAGATATGGTGCAACATTGCTCATTTGTCGTGCTAGGCGAAGAACAATGTCTTCAATGAAGCGGGAGTTTTTTTCATCGACTGATAGCGAAGAAGTGAAGGCGTCCCGGGTATACAGGCGATAGCAAACTCCTTTCAGCCGGTGTCCGACCAGAGCTTTCCGTTCGTCGGCCTCTGCCTCTGATATGTACGCAAGTTGGGCGACTAAAACACCATTCCGGTTAACGATAGTGCGTGTCAGACCGCTGTCAATGACGCAGCGCACGTGAAGTGTGCCAGCGATGGCATCGGGATATTCCACAGCGAAAACTACTCTCCAGTCCATCAGTGATGGCGTACTAAACTTTGAAAGCGACGTGTTCCCAGGTAATAAGACCTCATGGCGGACTCTTCTCTCGAGTTGACCTGTGTTTTTTCGGTATTCCAGCAGTGCGTCGGCGAGGAACGCGTCCGCCAGAGAGGGCAAAAAGACAACTATGTCTCCACCTGTGCCGCATTTTTGACAGAACTCGATCGTGGCGGCAACGCTCGCGGATGCAACATTCAAGTTCATCGGCCGCTCCTTCCAGATGACCTCCACAGGAAACTGAACATAGCATTTCACTATGTCCTGGTCACCCAGGCAGAACGTCTGCTGGACAGATGAGCAGGCGCAGCTCTCGCTTCCGGACAGAACAAGGTGCACGCGATGTAAGAAGTGCATGCGCAACACTGCCAGGACGATGCGTTGGTATGCACTGTCTTCTTGAAGAGCGTCGACGACGATAGCCTGGAAGCTCGCCAACGTTGTTCCGCAGCGCATGAACTCGTGAAAGAAGCGGCGCGCAGTCGTGAACACGACTGTCGACTGTGGGCTGACCTGCTGCCTTGCAGCGCGCCAGCACTCCACCACTCCTATCCCGCTAACACTCGCCGCGTGCTTAGCGCACTGCTCGGCGGCGATGTCACTGGGCTGAATGCTGAGCACGCGGGAGCCTAGATCACGCAGGTATGAAGGCACTTCGAGGCAAGACGTGGATCCACGTGGAGCCACCAGGAAGACGATCTTACGCTTCTCAAGGGCCTCAAACAGCCTGGATTTCACGCCATAAAGTGGCGAGGCCCGCCGTAGCCTCAGCACTTCCTTCGTCCTAATAGAGTGTGCCTCTTGCGATGATGTTGAGATCTTGCCCAAAGTAGCCATGAACTCATTCAGCTGAGCTGCGTAAGATTCTCCAAGTTTCTCCAGAGCCAAACGCGTTTCCTTCGCAGCCTGATCATTACCTTTCATAGAAGCGATCTTCTGTCTGACAGACTTACGTAATGCTTCGTTATAGTTGGTTGCTTCTTTTACATTTTTTGAGGAGAGGGGTCCGTCCGGTGAGCGTACTACGTTGCATGGGACAGTCTTGTCGGACAGTATTCCCAAGCACTTCACCATGTCGCCTTCCCCGTTTATTTGTTTGTTCAAAGCTGCTACGGCTTTTTTGGACTTTTTAGTGCTGGAGTAAACCAGACAAATGACGTCCTTATCCTTTCCGATTTCGAGGCTGAAGTCCTGAGGGATGTTCAGTTTGGTAAGGAAGCTCTGCCAGTGTTGCAAATTTTTAGGCTGTTGACGAACGAGCAGTCCAACTTTGGTGAGAATGGCTTTCCCTGTCGTCATGTTGTCAGTTTTTGTTTCTTTTTTGTTGTTGGCACACATTCCGTTTGTGCCTCTAGCCGCAGGTGCGGCTGCGCTGAAAGTGTTCCCTGTCGCTTGAACACTGTTTTTCTGGGATTGTTTAGCCAGCTTCTTGGCTGCCCCGTTTTGTCCCGAAGGTTTTGATTCTGCAGTCTTTTTGCATACGCTAGCAGGGGCTTGGGTGTTATTAACCTTGTCTATCTGCATTGGTTTCTTGGGTAATGGCTTGTTCTGCCTGGTTTGTATAGGCGCTTTAGCTTCCTTCGCCCTTTCGACCATCTTGATGTCCGCAACAAATTCTCCGTAGCGGATACTCTGGTTGGCCGTGTCCGTAAGGGACCGCTTTGCCTGGTCATTGTGGATAAGCGCGACGTGGATGAGGTTCTTGTATCGAATCTCGTGTATCTCCGCCGCGAAGTCAACGTCGCCCGATATGAGCACTACGCGCGAACCAGTCAGCTTGTAAGTGTCTGAGAACCGCCGCAGTTCGGAGCGTAGCTTCTCGTCGGCCGCGTTCTTTTGGCCACCCGGCACGTGCATCAAGGTAACATGAGCTTCAGTGAGCTCGCTCATGACAGTAGGCTTCATGCGGCTGATATCGCAAGCAACCAAGAAGTCCGCTTCCCGGAGGCCTTTGTAGAACGTCTGGCGCACCTTGCGCACTATGTCGTACGCCGGAACTCCGTTGGGAACCGCACAATTCTCAATGTCCCAGAAGACACTTATCCAACCGACTGATGCGAGCGCCGGCGAAGCGAGCACCGCGTGGGCATTCAGAACCGGCTGCTGTGTGCGCATGCTTAAAGGACCGGCCTTCTCGTTGCCAGTCGACAACACGGCATCTGTCAGGTCTTCGAAGTTGTCCACCTTCAATAAAGTGTACTCATCTTGACCCGTGTCTTGATCTTCCGGCAAGGTCTTGCCACCATCGTAAAACTGACCATCGTTGAAGCCGCATTCGCTCATTGCATCACCAAAGTCGGAAACACTGAACGCGCAGCTGTCGCTTTCTGAGACCATAGAAGTTTCGTCATCGGCCGTTTTGTGACGCAGTGCTCGCTTGAAGCAGAGCAAGTTTTGTCCTGCACTAAGCGCCCCGCCTCCATTTTTGCCCGAGCAGGGTGGCTGTGCCTTAACGCCACCTCGTCCTCTCGAGTGAAAGCGGCCTCTTTGGAAGCGACCTCGGTCACCCCTTGCGTGGCCTCCGCGAGGTTGACCCTTGTGCTTGCTCTCATGCTTCTGTTGGCTTTTTTCGCTGTTGCTGCAATTGCAAAGAGACATGACTGTTAAGGTTAGATGAGAGTGGCAAAATAAATCAAAGTGGTGAAAAATACTATGATATTCTGTGAAACTATATCGGTTATTGCAAGTCTGGCGGATTGGTGCACTCGAGGTGCGAGTCCGGCGGATAGCAAGGAATGACATGATTTCAAGTGGGACTGGCAGTTTTGACTCGTTTTATAAGTCGTCATGGTATTTTTACTTCAGTGTCTCAATTATAATGAAAACTGAATGAGTGGTTTCTTTGGTGTGTCTCAGAATATAATGGCATTAAATTTACTGATACCATTTTTATAGCAAGACGGCGTCAATGTGACATTTTCTTTTTCTTTATACAAAGACTACGGAGTGCGAGGTCATTAAAATCCTGAAATGCATATATTGATTGGTGACTTTATAGTCGTGCACAAAAAATATCAATCCAGGTTAATAGGTGGATGTGCATGCACACGTATTATTACACGAAGAGAAATACAGCGGAAGTGACTGTTTGCGCTGTAGTCACAAGAGCAGGCCTACTGCTTATTAAGATGTAGGTGAAAGGATGGTTCTCCCCTTCCAGTCGTTTCACGTCAATGTGCCAAGGACCCTATGTTTTTTGTGTTTTGAGAAATTTACTCTCACAAGCAGTAGAGATCAATAACATTCCAACAGAACATCGGGACGGAACACAACATGCACAGACACACCGAAATTTGTTACAGAAACATGTGTTTACATATGCACAGTTGGCCAAAATATAAGCTATTGTGCACAGCAGCCACGTTTTTGTCTGTCAGCATTTTATTCCTGTACAACACTGTACGACCTGAGGTCGTCATCAAATGGTACGGACGTACTCATTCCGTCCTCATATGTTAGGCGACGTTTTCAGTGCGCCCTGAGGAAGGCATTCACATCATGATTTAGAAAGGCTACTTGCCAGTATTCTTCGAGGACAACTAGACGTACGAAAAACGTCTACAGTAAGACGCTTTAGTGCGTACTACATAATTCAAAAAGAGACTATTCATGAATATTGTGTGGCACTTCGTCGCGAGCGCGCAAACATTGAATGTATTTAACAACCACTAGCGTAGCTCTCGATCGTACAATAATTTTTTTCGTGCTCGTTTTTTAGCACCTCACAGATATGCATAAAAATTTTTTTCAGGGACTTGTGTGTAGTGTTTTTGAAGTTTTATGTTTTGCACATACATGAGCATGAACGATTCCCGTGCGGCCGGCAATGAGCAGGTAACGACACGGTTAATTAACACGGTGTCCAATGGTAGCAATCACAGGAATCTCATCCAGCGCGTGCCATATTTCTTTTTATGCCGGGCAACATTGTCATTCTGAACAGCCTAAGTCTAAGCAATCCAAGCCAAGCCAGAGAACAACTTCATTTTTGAAGAAAATGGCACGGTTAGGCATTGTGGCAGGCAGGTTTCCTCAAGTCTGTTCCTTTTTCGCATACGAAATGGAAGAAAACGTTGACTGCAGGTTCAGCCTATGAATAAATGGATGCGCATATGCCTGTTTATGCATTTAAGCAGTTTTGGCAGTAAAGTAAGCCAGCGCCACCAAAGCAGATGATGTCGTGCTAAGATGTGGTGTGAATTGTGTGCCATGATCTTGCGAGTGTCCAAGGGTTCATTTCTCGTGTTTTTCCACAGTTAGAAGATCACCGAAGTATTTTTCAACTCGTTTGTGACATGTCGAGTGCGTTACTATCGTTTGCAATTCCGAACTTGAATATGTTTAGCGTTGTTGCTGCGACAACAGGGTTTAGAGGGCACGACATTCTGAGGTGTGTGTGTGTGCACGCATTTGCCAGATCAACCTCTGTAGTTGCATATGAGCAGTTTTGAAAAATCACTTGGACTTACCAGCCATTGCAAGAGATGTAGCTTTTGTAATAATGGCGGCATGTAAGATTGTTGACAGGCACGGAACGTTTCTTGTAAATCAGCACTTCCACATTTATTTTCATATGTTACAGAATTTAAGCAATGAGTCAGAATCCTGGAAACGCACATGGCAATGGTGTAGAGTAGCAAGGCCAATAGCTTGGTATAATACAGCGGCAACTATGATCTACGAAGCAAATATCTTCTCTTGAACCCTGCCCATCTCCAGAGACCTCCAGTCAAGGGATTCAATCCACCAACCTCACTTTGTCAAGTTCCATGGACTCGTTGTTCGAAACTCATTAATGAAAAAAAGCTTTGCGTGTCAGTGCTTGTTTATATATTTTTGTTGGTGTGGCATTTTTTGATCTTTTACTAATGAAGTTTGAAGTATGAACTTTGAAGCAGTAGATGCATGCTTTAGTTCTAAGGCTGATTTTTTTTAATTTATGGAAAACAATCACATTGGAAAAGCGCACTTCCAGTGGGGGTATTATGCGTCTTCAAAGCTTAAAATATCATCTAAAAAGGGCCTTCAATGCTCTCCTGAGGTCGACCTGAATGCACACTGAAAAAATCTCTGAATGTCGACCTCAGGACAACATGAGGATGATCTGGGGCCGGAGAAAGAGACGGGATTAGTACCAGTTGAGGTTCATTTGAAGATGAGCTCAGACCGTACTGTGTAGGGCATATTTAGGACAACCTCAGGTCGTCGATTGTTGTCTAGGTTGTGTAACGAAGTTAGAAAAAAATGCTTCGTGGACATGTGCTTTATGGGATACCCTTGTCCTTAGTTCAAGCGAAACTTAATTCAGTTGTATGGCAACGATATGCAGAAAAAACTGCCACTCGTGCCTGATAGCTAAAAATTTGGCTGACTGTACGTTATATGGTGAACGAAAAACACTAATAAAACGTCAAATATGTTACGTGTATACATGGTATTTTTGATAGTACTAAACAAATATCAGCCTACCAGAACCAGGCAGACCGAAAAAAAAATACCCCACCTCTCCGACGGAAATTGGGAGGAAATGCGAATGCATTTCTTGCGCCAAGAGAGCGCACCGTTGCCGTCAGACATTCGCCTTCACTTATTTCTGCCATCGCCTTGAGAGTGGCCAGGCCAGCAAACGGTCGTGAGTGACGACCAAGGGGACGGGAGAGTGTGGCGCCAGCGTTCTTGGCTCTGCGTTGTCGTTTCACAGAGGCGTCTCGAGCACAATTTCCGGATGTTCTTGAGAGGATGTTCTTGAGAGGCACTCTCATCCTCACTTTTCATTCCCCCCCCCTTGTTATACTATGATGTGCTAGGGGCTGCTTAGCACGTACTCACCCTTTGTGGCGCATATGTCCGCCAAGTTTTAGGCGGACATTGACGGTGCCAGGACAACCTTTCGCGGACCGGCTCGACTGACGTAAAAGTCGCCCACAGCGCGCTAGGGCGCGTCCAGCGTGAACTCAATAGAGGTATTTCAATTAGTCAATCAGTCCATGGGGCGCCGGGTTAAGCAGTGGCGAACTCATACAGTCTGCGACTGCTATACCGGTCCCGGACCCCAAGAGCAACTATGGACAGTCCAATGAGCCCGTAACGCAGCAGAGTGACTTAATTTTTCTGTTCCAGCGTAAAAACAACCCGCTAAGTATCAGAGCGTGTTTCCATCCATCCATCATCGTCGGCCTTACCTCCAGCTTAAGCAACTCGGCTGTTCAAAAAATGCTGCAACAGTCTGTCTCACCCTCCAGCCTGACTGTTGCCTCCTCTTGTCTGGTGCGGTGGTGGACGCTCCTCTGCATGGCCAAAGGTATTGGCTCCACCACCTCGATTTGCACCGCGGCCCCCACCAGCACCTGGGTGTGAAGCGCCTCGCTGGTGGGCAGAACTCGGCTGGTGAGCCGCTCTGGAACCCGGTTGGCTGCCTCTTTTCATGGCTCCAAGGCGCTGCGCAGAGGATAGTTGTGTGAAAATTTTTTTTTTATTTGAAAAAAGGTGCTGTTTTGTAAGTATTTTGTTCTCCTGCGTGAATATCTTGATTAGAACACACATGTTAGCGCACGGTAATTCTGCAGTGTGCCTTTTCATTTGATCAAGCACCAAGTTTTCCTGTTTGATATTTAATGTTTCAATTTTATAACACCATGAATTCTAAATAAAGTTCAATATATTCTAACATTCCATGAAATCACCAGATTCTTGGCCGATCCCCCACAGTGGGTGTGAGCCATAGTTACAGCAAGTTTGCACTAACTCTCGCAAAGCTTTGCGCAGCGAAGCACAGGCCCAAGTCCTCGCTCATATACTTCTCATTAACTGACACGTCTAGCTTCGTGCTGCACCGCTTCCTCCTCGGGAGCACGAACTTTCTGAGGACGCCCCGTGGCTCTCTGGGCCCAATCGGGCGTAACCAGGCCACAGAACACGTATATGACTAGGCTATGCACTTTAGAGTGGAGGTTGCGCGCGATGCCTCCTCTGGCGGACGGGGCTCAGCTACTGCTTATGTGCGGTTTGTACAGGTGGTCGCTAGAAGACTCGATGCTTGTTCTCTCTCTATTTCTTTCCTTGCCTGTCTTGGCACTCGTTATCGTGGTTAATACTGGCCACTCCATAGCAGTGGGCAGTGGAATTTGCCCAAGTTTTGCGGTGCATACCCGTTCATGATGATGATGGTTTTCGGGCACGGTCTTGTACACTTTACGCAGAGCTAAAACACCTTGGCTGTTGAAACGGGATCCCGGCCACAGCGAACGCACTTCGAAGGGGATGCTATGCGAAGAACAACCGGGCTGTTATATTTAGGTTCATTTTGAAACTCCCGCAAATGGCTTAAATGAACCTGAAGCCACCCACAACGGCGTACCGTATCAATGTTCTGTCTCGTTCGAATCCCGGCTGCGGTGGCTGCATTTCCGATGGAGGCGGAAATGTTGTAGGGCCGTGTGCTCAGATTTGGGTGCACGTTAGAGAACCCCAGGTGGTCGAAATTTCCGGAGCCCTCTACTACGGCGTCTCTCATAATCATATGATGGTTTTGGGACGTTACACCCCTCATATCAATCAATCTCGTTTGAACCCAGAAATTTTACTCGGTGGTAGCCTGTGCCACCCATGGGAGCCAACCTCGCCTGAAATACTTAAGAAAAGCAAAAAAAAGTTTAAGGATCAACTTCAAGAAGCAGGCCGAGCAAGCATGGCTGCCCCTGTCCGTATTATTGTTGGTGTAAACACTAAGCGTTTCCAGAGAGAGAAAGCGAGACAGACATAAGAATGGTTCTCAATGATATGATGGTGAAAATGTGATTGATGAGAAGCAAATTTAAATATTGGCCGCTTTGTCATCTCAGTACTTAAAGGCCCCATGCAACACTTTTTCAAGTAGCCATCAAATGCATACAATAAAGGAGCTGATAAACTTACGAATTCAACACCGCAAGAATTTTTAGAATCGATCTAGTACGAGTGAAGTTACAAAGATTAGTCGCACATCACAATAGCATTCTCTCTTCTCTCTCGAAGAGAAAGCAATCTTTAGCTCCCGCGTGCTGTGCTATAATCTTTGCCTCGCGTGTTCTAGAGAGCCTTGACTACTGATCGGCAGCACTTTCTGAACCTGATCAAAAAATGTTACAGGGCCCCTTTAAAATGCGCTTTGATACAGTTGCGTGTCGCTTCTTTATTTCTTGTTGCACTCTCCCGAACAATGCTTCCCTGGAAAGTGGCAAAGCCTGACTGACCGAAAGATGTGTTTCTACCTGTCCTTTAAGCCTGCGTGCGAACATCGAATCAAGCGCCTCCCGCAATCTCGGGCGCCCCATTCATTGGCCTACGGCTGTCGCAATGACGCTTTACAGTGCCCCTTTGCAACAACTTTTGAAAATACAAAACAAAAAAAAGACAGCCATATTCTTTCTCGGCGTTTCCCGTTCACGCGGCACTATTCGTGACGTCAGCAGTTTGTGCACGTAACGTCAGGATGAAAAAAATTGGCAGATCTTACGTACAGTGGGAATCGATGATATGCGAAGCACGAATGAGAAATGTTGATATGTCACTTTAACACCAACACAACGTTACGAGGTGAAGGTATGTGATGCTGTACATGACTTCCGTGTCATGATTATCATGTTTGGACGTATCATTTACTCTCATCGTCTATTCACGTCGCACGATACCAAATTTGGTATATGTGGAGCTAGTGGAACGGCCACGAGCGCGCTGTGAGCGTAGCATGGAGTCATGTATTACATGACACCTATGTCAAGATTATCATGTTTGGACGTGTCATTTGCCTTTTTCCTCCATTCACGTCACGTAATGTCAAATTTGGTATATGTGTAGCAAGCAAGACGGCTGCGAGCGCATCTTGAAGGGTCCAATATATTCCAATGTAGCGTTGACGCGCGCACGCTGGGCAGAGCGACGCTATGTTAGCAAAACGCGAGCACTCTATAGTCTGACGCCAGGCGCGACCAGCGTCCGTCGGCGCGGCCCGTTGGCAACCGGCGTGAAATGCGATATGCTGCATTTTGTGCCGATGCATTAACAGCAAATTTATAGCCAAGTTAACTTGGAAAACAAACTGTGCGGTGCACCTCATACGCAGAGTGGCCAACAAAAGAAATAGGATCAAGGAAGACAATCTCATCAGGTTGATGCATGCGTTTGTTCTAAGCCACTTCACGTACGAGGCAGCAATACACAACTGGTCAAGAGTGGAGTTGGAGACACTGAATGTGCTCCTCAGGAAAGTTATCAAGAAGGTCCTGGGCCTACCTATACATACCAGCACCGAGCGTCTACTTGAGCTTGGTATTCACAACACGCTCGAAGAAATAGCAGAAGCCCAAGAGAGAGCACAGTTTGCAAGGTTATCTACAACAAGGTCGGGGAAAATGATCCTGCAGGAACTGGGCCAACACCCAATGGCAATTAGATGCAATTACAAAGATGTCCCCGACAACATCAGGGAGAATATCAGGGTATCTCCTATACCATGAAACATACATCCAGAACACAACATCGGAAGAAGAGTAGCGAGGGCCAGGACTATTATACTATGTCAAGTCTCAAACGAGGAACGAGGGGTCGTATTTGTTGACGCAGCTTCCTACGCCAATGGGAAAGCTTTTGTGGCAGTGGTGGTTGATGGGGCTGGCCGTGTTTTCAACTCAGCGACGGTCAGGACGAAAAACCCAATCATTGCGAACAGGTGGCCATCGCATTAGCACTGAAGATGGATAACATTGAAGTCGTCTACAGCCATACCATGGCAGCACTTCGGGCCTTCGCAAAGGGGACGGTCTCAGAACAAATGCTGAGAATACTACATGGCAAGAACATAACGCATCATCTTCTGAGTTGGTTCCCAGCTCACCTTGGATAAATCAACGACTCCCCTTCCAATCTCAATGAAGCAGCACACGAGGAGGCGCGAGACCTTTCCAACCGCGCCTCCCTGGGGATGTGTTCTACCGGTGAAGGGCATAACCGCGAAATTCTTACAACATATAACGAGCTTACTAAACATTTCTACCTGTCTATAAGGATTTTCCCTCCACCTCACAAAAATCTAACTCTGCCCCAAGCACTTACATTAAGGCTTTTGCAAACGCGCATGTACCCTACTTTAAAAATGTTACACATCATGTACCCTGACCTATACCCAAGTAATCTTTGCTCACATTGTGGGGAAATAGCTTCATTAGAACATATGCTCTGGCAGTGCACCAAATTCGCTCATTTATCGAACATCACCTCTGCCAGATCGGAGGCAGCAATCCGCAGCTCATCCTTGGCAGATCAGCTCTGGGCTGTCCACCAAGCCCGCGAGGTGGCTGAGGAGCTCGCATCTCAGTCCCTACAGGGGAGCTGCCCGCAACACAGTGATCTGTGTTTTGAAGGACCAATTAAAAGTTTACCCAATCCAATTGCCCAGACAACACTGTGTCTCCCTCTTTTCGTGACGGAGGGACGCTGGGCAGACTGAAACGCACATGCGTCAAAGCAACGCAGCGCGGCAACGCCGGCGTGACGTGACGAAATGAACGCCGGCGAGCGCGTGCACCACGTCACGTCAAAATCCATTGGCGCCTTGACTGTGGCATCTAGTCATGTTCTCGCACGACATCATGTTTGCACCAGTATCATACCTTCGTCATCTATTCACGTCCCGTAATACCAAGTTAAGCTAGCGAAACGGCCGCCAGCGCATCATGATCATGGCATGTAGTCATGTTGTTACATGACACGCATCTCATTATTATGTTTGCACCAGTCACATACCTTCGTCATCCATTCACGTACTGTATACCAAATTCGGTATATGTGACATCAGCGAAACGGCCGTGAGGGCATCGTGAGCGTGGCTGGTAGTCGTGTTGTTACATGACGCGCATGTCATGATTTTCATGTTAGGGACTGTCGCTTCTTTTCGCCATTTCCGCCTCCATCGGAAATGCAGCCGCCGCAGCCGGGATTCGAACCCGCGACCTGAGGGTCAGCAGCCGAGTGCCTTAGCCACTAGACCACCGCGGCGGGGCAATAGATAGATAGATAGATTGATTGATTGATATGTGGGGTTTAACGTCCCAAAACCACTATATGATTATGAGAGACGCCGTAGTGGAGGGCTCCGGAAATTTAGACCACCTGGGGTTCTTTAACGTGCACCCAAATCTGAGCACACGGGCCTACAACATTTCCGCCTCCATCGGAAATGCAGCCGCCGCAGCCGGGATTCGAACCCACGCTCTGCGGGTCAGCAGCCGAGTGCCTTAGCCACTAGACCACCGCGGCGGGGCGATAGATAGATAGATAGAATGATAGATAGATAGATAGATACGCCCTAGGTTGCATTTATTAAGCTCTCGATTGGTCAATACGCCAGAGAACTTTGTTGCGAAGAATTGTTTCCCAATCTGCTTTTTCATACTGTCGCATGC